AAACCAGACATGTTTACGGAGTGAATTGAGATATATATTCAAGGGTGTGATTAATTTAAATAATGGCTTTGAATGTTTTACTCGGTTTTTGAATGCATTTTCTCATCTCTTAGTTGATCTTAAGTTTTTTTTTCTGTATTCATTCTGTATTCAACAGAAAGTTCAGTTTTTTGTCTTCTTTCATTTCTTTTTTCTTCGAATTTTGAGTCTGTTTTTAAATTTCATTTTCTTTTCGAATTTTGCATATTCAATTCCTTCTATCTCTTCATTTTTGTGCCATCTTTTTTTTGGATGGAATTTCGGTCTTGAATTTTGCATCTTCAACTATGTTCCCGTCGCAAATTGTTTGTCCTCCGTTTATTTTATTTCATTTAAATAATGTGTCATTTAAGTTAAAATGATTGTCTTTAGATTGTTTGCACTAAATTTCTTGTCATTTACATTTTTTTACTCGTTTCTTTTGAATAAATACGAGTATTCGAACTCGAACAAGGTATTTTTGTACTTTCATTGTTTTTCGCATCAGAAAAGATATTTCTGCAGAATTCAAAGGTAAATATTCCCATTGCATTGGAATAAATTGCAATTTATTGTATGTCAACTATGACATACTTAATAGCAACTTGGCTATTCTCATTGAGAAAACTGTTCAATCCAATTGCACCCTGGCGCAAAAGTTGCACTACAATTTTCCCTAGAACAAGGAACAAACTTCTTTATTTTCTAAATAAAAAAAAAATCGAATGTATACACAAATCTTGGCAGTTGACACAAAAACCGTCTCATTCTTTCGATGAACTCTCCCCTTTCAACGAAGCCACGAAAGGTTCGAGGAAAACAGTCCAGATCAAAAGTTCGTAATCTGATAAAATGTAACGCATTTCTTTGCGTCTTTTTTTCAATTTCAACTTAATTTCATTTAGAATATTTCCATTTCCATTTTCTGTTTAACATTCGCATGCAAACACCAATCTAATTTGTGTCACTTGTGTTTGGCTACGATAGAAATCGGGTACCTTCAACTCAATCTATGTAATTACTATTGTCAGTTATTAATTTTGGTGTTGAATATTTCGATAAGAGCGTTCAAAATAGAATTGATGGTATCAAACACACAGAGAGGGAGAGGGAGAGAACGATCGCGGCAAAGTGGAAAACGTATGTAAACAATGATGTCAAACCAAAATGAACGCTCGACTGTAGCGGGAAAAAAAACATTCAACGACCGTTTCGATTGTGTGGTTATTTTTAATGTGAGTATATCATTAATAGCAAATGAAAAGCATGTAAAAATTTCATAGACATTTTGCAATGGGACCCACATAGTATGATTGAAACATTGATAATCAAAATGAGCATCGATTGAACACAAAACCAAAGAGCGTAGCGCACAACGCGCGCACTATATTAATAGGAAGCCATTTGATGATTGAGTGTGTTCCATTGAATGAATTGCAGACTGCCCCGGCAAGCAATAAATCTTCAAATTCATTTCGAAATGGTAGCAGCGACGCACACACATCCAAAGGAGATACAGAGAGAACGAGTCTTGCTAAACGCCATTCGCCGCATTTGATGTCTTTGTCAAGCATTTTTTGTTTTTGTTTAATCGATTGGCCACTTGTGTCGGTCAATTGAAACCGAAATCGAACTAGATCGCGACACAAAGTGTCAATAAATCGCAATGTAAAACGACATTAATTCGCATATTGTCCGTTGGTGTGTTCTTTTCTCGTTCTTCTCCTCATTCGTTCAAAAGTCAAATAATTTGCGTTGATAGCCATTAGTCACGATAAAGCCCAATAATAACAAATTGATCTACGAGAGATAACTGTATTTTCCATTCCGGGCCGACGGAGTTGCGACCGCGCTCAACTCTCTCTCTGAGTGCGATGATAAAAATCTGGCAAGTACATTACAATAAAAATTGATGATGTAAATAAATTGTATTTCGTTTCTCGATTATTTTTTTTCTCGTTTGACTGCTGTTGTTATTGTTTTGCCGCCAAAAGACAGAGCGTTAAATTAGTAAACGGTCACCAGAAGTCGAACAATTAATAAAAATTTAAAACAAAATGCGCATAATATTTTCGTTTCGATGTGGACACATTTATGTGCGTGTACAGTTGTGCTGGCTGGAGTGAGAAGAAGATAGAGAGGGAATGAAAGATGGATAGAGAGAGAAATATCACACACAAAAAAACTAGTTCAAAGTGACTTAAAACTGGATATTCGTTTTTCATAAAGTAAGGTGATTGCATCTGCTTCTTGCTTCGTTTTTTTCTCTCTCTTCTTCCAATTAACTCGAACGCACGGACGAGGCATCATGATTAAAACTGTACACTGATTGACTTTAGACTAGTTTGATTCACCAGCGCGTGTTGTTTTTTTCTTTCGTTCATTCGTTTTTTTTTGTGTGTTCGTCACTGCGTAGATACAGTTTGAATGACTCAATTTTTCATCGTCCACTCAAAGTCGACGGTATGCAAGCGACGAAATGAGGAACCAACCAAAATGCAATTTATTGTGGTACACAAGTGGCATTCTCATGCATTTCAACGACACGTACCAGAAACATGAATGGCAACAACGATTAATTGAAATCATTAAGGAAATTCGAGAACAACAAAGCACTTAGTTCGAAAAGAGTCATTCGATTTGATTGCATGAAATTCCATACGGAGACTTTTGGAACCGAAACAATCACAACACTGAAGAGCTATGCGCTAACAGTACAGGTCCCAAAACTTGAGAATGCTATTTCGTTCCACTTTTTGGGTTTACAGTGGAACATTCTTGTTTGATCACACAACATTTTTCATTTGGTTTCAATTTTCGAAGAACTTTGATGCATTTCAATTAGAAAATGCCATTTTTTACATATCAAACGGCACATTTTTCAAAGTGCCAATTATTTATTGTGAATATGGTGATAAGTATATGATGATTGAATATGATCAAAATTAAAGATGAAGCGAAAACTTTCCCAGTGCTAGAGGTCTTTTGCACAGAGAATTTCAAATACATTGCCAAATGGCGGCAGTTTTATTTTCTGAAAAATATACAATTCAACACCAATTGGTGGTAAAATAAACCTAAATGAAATGAACAATTTAAAACCATCATACAATTTGGACTTCGCATTGGCAATTTTACGAAAAAATTAGGAAATGGAAAGGAAATCGCGGAGAGTAAATTTTTGCTACTGAGCAGGCAGTTTTGGCCACAAAATTGATAATTATCATTTTTTTTAGTCGAATTATAATTTTAATAAAGTCACAAAGAAAAAAACATTCGATCCACGCAACTGACTTGTGATTCAATTTCTTGGAAATTAAATTGCTTGCATTTTCTTAAAAACAATTGATTCATTTACGTTTGTTTTGATAAGCGTAAAAAAACATTGATATGACATTTAATGCCTGACAACAAGTACAATTGTGTCGCTGAGCATAAAGATGGAAATACAGGACTGTTACAGCAACAACCGAATATAAAATATTGTTCCCTAAAAACGTTACATGAATTTCTATCCAACGCGAGTGTAACATGAGCTAATACTGTTTCTAATGCAACTCATGTTACACTCGCGTTAGATGGAAATTCATGTAACGTTTTTAGGGAACAATATTTTATGTTCGGTTGTTGCTGTTACAGATCTGTATTCCCATTTTTATGCTCAGTGACACAATTGTACAGCGCTCAATAAAAGAATTGAAATGGTCGATTTTTTTTTCTCTATTTATTCTCAATCATACAAAAGCATGCTCGAGGTATGTTCTCAATACAAACTGTGCAGCCCAACCTGAAGAAAAAGTGCAAGTGTCTATGTGCTCCATCATCTTCATTATTATCCATCAACCAGGTCGCGATGAAAATTAATTGGAAAGTGCATGTGAAAAGTTGTGTTGGAAATTCTCAAGAGAGATGTGTCATTGAAAAAGTGAACGAGTTGTTAAAAACTCATTTATCTTTTGATTGAAAGAAGTTTCCATCGAATTAAATGATAATTAAGAAAACAATTTTGTTGTTGTTGCGCTTTAAAAACAATTTTCTTATTCGATTTCACATCGATTCGATATCGTTTGACTTAAGAATATTTTGAAGAAGAAAAAAACGAGAGAAAAAAAAGAAACAGTTATGTGTGAAAGAAGAGAGATGGTATTGTTCTCTCGGTTGAGTAATTTTGCAGATGAAAGACATGTGAAGGGGAAAATGTATGGAGAAATTGAGTTTTTCCAGCCATCAACTTTGCCTACACTGCCTGCTTGTGTCTCGTCGCGGCACCGAATTTGAGTTGAATAAGCAGCAGCAGCAGCAGCAGCAGGCAGCAGAAGAGGAAGAGGTAAAGGAGGCAGGAAAAAATGCGAAAGAGCAATACAGCAATGTGAAACGATCTGATGATTTATTGCAAGTTCGAATAAATGGTATAGCATTCTTCAAGTTTTACTTGATTTAGTGGTGGGTATTTAGCAGCTATACCATACGCTAGGGTTTTTCGTGCAAACAGCGGAAAGCACACAACAAGAACACACACACCAGCGAACGGAAAAAGTGTATATATTATATCGGAACATTTGATACAAGCAGATTTCAGATATTTGATTAATTACATTGTCACAACACGAACACGGTAGATTCATGCTGATTTCATCGCATTTTTTTTCTCTCCCTCTCTCTCTCTCTCTCGCTCGCTTTTTTCGTCTCCCATTTCATCTCGTTACTTCGTTCACAAAAGAGAAGCTGAGCAAAAATATGCTTTCATCGCTGTGTTTCTGCCTCAATGTATTCATTTAGTACCACAAAATGTTCCGATATTGTTCATTGTGTTCTTGTTCTGTGTATAATACACCGTGTTACCCGTTTCGCAAAACGAGACCAAACATTATATGCGGAGAATTTTTACCAAAGGATACCAACAATAATGAATATACAAAAAGGGACGAAAGAGCAGAGGAATGTTGAACCCAAAATAATATAAAAAAAGGGGTGAAACTCACCTTTCTTTTCGCTGGTTTCATTGTTGCCGGCTGATGGTGGTAGCAGTTTGCCGAGAACAGCATCTTCATCCTTTAAAATGGTATTGTATGTGGCATCAATTTCGGGTGCATCCGTTTTCGTCACTTTGAACCGATCCGGCATTTTGTACATAAGTTTTCTTTTTCGCTCACTCAATCACCCACAAATTATTCTATGTGGAAGCACTTTCATATACACGGTCTGATTCGGTGTGTTTTTTTTTGCTTTTGACAAGTCCTAATGAATGCAGCGTTATTCAATCCAGTGGATTTTTGAGATTTTTTTCTGTATTTTTTCGCCTTAAATATGGTACTAATTTGCTCTTTTATTCTTCTTTGCTTTTCGTTTTGTTCTTTTTTACTTATTTCAATGTACTTGTTGTTTTCTATATCGTAAATGTTTGTACAAAAGTTCAACAATAATCTCGTAATTGCTTTCGCATATCACATGCAATATTTACATCGACGAAACTTCGAGCTAAAAATGATTTCAATTCGAATTTCCAAATTTCACCAAACAACCATGAACGGATTTCAAAAATGTTTTTCAAGTCAATTCGTCGAGTAGAAATTCATAGTCCACATGCAATCCGAATAAGAAACGGGAATTTTCTTGATATGATTTTCGGTATTTCTACCGATCGATATTTTACCACAAGAAACTGTGATCAAAATCCAAACAAATTGTAAACACCGAACAGAAAATGTATTGAAAATGCGGCCAAAATATTCGTATCTCGATGAAACTCGGTCAAAGTGATGTCTCCTGAGAACGAAATAGATAGGGGCAGAAAAAAATTGGATCAAAATTTATATAAACTCATTTTAGATACGAAGAATTTGATCCGGTCAAGTAAAAGTCGAAGAAAAAGAAAAACGTTAAAAACTTGGATAAACAAAACTATGTTGAAATCTATACAATATTCACATAATCGTTGTTAGTTATATATGGGCCAGCTGTTTGGCTACTTCTCCATTCGATGCACAATATTACACTCGGCACAGCAATGCAAACCATATTTCTAATGGAATGGATAAGGAAGCAGAATAACACAAATCAATGCCTGACTTCGTTTCGAGTGCATCGAACACAATAAAAACACCGAAACGAAAACGAGAAAAGAAATACAAACTAAATTAGAAGAACTACGTCATATTATAAATAGAATAACTAGTTGAAGTGTATTTGTATATATGGTTGTGTGTCATTGTTCTTTCTACCCATACGGTAGGGAAGAGAATAGAAAAAGAAGAAGACGTGTTTGCCATTCATTGTACGTCTCAAATGTTTGTGAATTGCGTAGTTCTTTTCGAATTTTTTTTTGTTCGGAATAGAAGGGATTGTACCATCCTTGTCACATATCGCATGAATAATGAAGAAGCCTTGTTTTGTAACGACATTTCATTGCACTTGTAGTGAATCATATTGGAGTGAATGAGTGAATCTCATCATCTTATCATTTAATTCGATGGAACTCATTCACATTTGGTTTTCAAATCAAGCAGTGAGAGTGTTTTCTTGCTCGTCAACGACGCATTGAGTCTAAAAGTGACTTTGCTTTTTGTGTAACTCATGCCGATATCCATAGATAATGGTGATATGCACTCTTTTTGCCGGAGAGAGTGTGACATACGGGGAAAATATGATCGGTCACCGTATGGCAGTGCCATACTACGGCACATTCTGGCACAGTGTGTATGGATTCTGGCACAGTGTGTGTATGTGTGTGTGTGTGTGTGTGTGTGTGTGGATGGTTTTTCGATTCTTCTTAGTTGATTTGTGTGCAGTTTTCATCGACCAGGTCACAGAACGAACTTGGCGCAAAAAAAAAAAATAATGGATAAAAATCCATGCGGTGATTTCGAAGGCGATATTTTTTATGGAACAATTTCGATAGCAAAAATATTGAACTAATCTTTTTTCGACAAAAATATCAAACTTATCTCTCTGAGTCAATTTGATTGGAATAAAAAATATCCGGAATTTATGTGGATTCACCAAATTTATCGGAGTAAATATCAAACTGACTATGGGAGCGTATCAACGAGCTTATAAAAATAGAACGTAAATGCACGAAACAACGGCCAAAAATTGTGAATGCATTGCTTTGCATTAAATGCAAAATGTTTCGAATGAACGGCGAATAATGTTCGGGTGCAAGGAACGCCGACGATTTAATACGAAAGATAATATATTATCTAGTGTGATACAACTCTATAACTCTAGCAATATATTGTAATTTATCGCCACATTTATTCTATTTTAGCTCCGTTGAACACACTGAAATCCAAACGATGGTTGAGTCGAAATTTGCCGGTTTTATTTCTTATTTTATCAAAAACAATCCAATTATTACCGTGAAAATATTACAAAACGATTCAAATATAACCGACAAACAAAAATCCATTAAATTTCACTGTAGACTTGTTCACAGAGGAAAAAATCCATTGAAAATGAACGAAAAAAAAAACAACCAACGAACTCTCCGATTCCGAACTGTCCGTAAGTGTTTCACATAAATCGATTGTCGACTAGTCCGTGGATGGGCGCGTTCGCGTACACACACCAAATGTCTAGACGATCTTGCACGACAAACTGGTCATTTCTTGAATAAATTCTCTGTGAATAATTGCTGATTGATTGTGTGATGACTTGTTTATCCTCTGCTGAAATGTTCATTTTTTTTCTGTCTTACTCTTCTTGCATTGTTGTTTTCTCCCCACACTCTGTCCAATTTGCCATCAATTTCTTAGTGCCATCTCTTTTATTCAATAAGACACACACACACACACACAAACACACACAGAGAACGACGGCCAACAAAAAATCAATGTATCGTATTGTTTATTACTCCGAAGGAAAAAAAACGAACTCACTCTTCAATTCACACTTATGTGTTGGGCTGTTAACAATGAACGCATAAAATCAAATGGACGAATGCGTTAAATTGAATGGATGGCAACAACGGAAAAAAATGGGTGTGTGTGTGAGAGAGAAAGAGAATAGAATAGAAATTGAATGGAATAAATGAAAACGAAAAAATAAGGAGAATGAAGCTGCTCTTTGAGTAAAGCAAAAGAAATTGAATGGAGTACAACAACTGTTGGAGCAAAAGGAGCGAATGTGTATATAAAATTGATTGGATTACGAATAGCATTTGGTACAAGACATTGCACAATCATTTAGAATCACATTTATTTAATTACTACTTTGTTTGGCGACACATTTGCCCGGCTTTCGGTCCATCTCTGTCACGTTCTTGATTGCCGTTCTTTGCATTTTGCAATCGACTTCATTTAGAACAAATGGATGATGGTATTGCGGAGAGGTATGGAATCGAGAAGAGTTGATACGGAATAGAGACGATACAAATTCGTGAGATATCTATAGATATCAAATGAATGTAAAAAAAAAGAGACAGATTGATTGAAGGGGCGTACAAGTGTTCATCTTACATCTCAATACGATTGAATTGCGTGAAGTGTGCGTTTTGGCCGGCTTTCTCTAGCTCTGCTCTCATACTCAATCAGTTTCGATGCACGGAACATTTGAAATATGTCACAATCAACTAATTTTGTCTTCGTTTGACTGACATATGTTTTTGAACACGCGAAACAAAGGGACACAATAACAACCGAAACGTTTGAGAATAAAAAAAATGAATGAAATTGGATGGTTCGGTCGATGCAAACCAATCGATATCACTAAACAAACTATACGCATATATCGCGATGTTAATGTTAAAATGATATAAAACGAGGAAGAGAAAAAAAAAATGTACAGGCGAAAAGAAACGACGAACAAAACCAAGAGCATAAAAATAAAACAAAACAAGTGCAAAGTAGAATCAACTGACTGAATGGAGTCGAGAGTGAGAACTGGACTGGCTTATCGACACATGTTGCGGTCACTTAAAATTGACGCGGTTCCCCGTTCATATCTTGCATACACATATTTTTCTCTGTGTCGTAAGTGAGTGAGTGAGTGTATGTGTGCGTGAGAGAGTGGTGTGCGTTTCAATAAATATGTGCAACAGTAAAAATATCGGTTTTTTTTTATTCCGAAAAAAATAAAACAACAATAGCAACGAACAACGACGACAACGACTATCACTCTATCTCACTTGCACTCGTTCTCAACATATCGGCAAATATACTACATATATCAGTAAAACACGGTATTGTAAACAATAATATAACTAGCGTGTATTTCTTTTTTAAATACTTCCAGCATATGCTTTTAGTTGAAAAATAAACAAACAAAGCGAAAATAATGAAAACGAAAAATTCATATGCGATCAGCAGCAGCAGCGGCGGCGGCATTTGTATACGCACAAATGGCACGTCGTCATCGTCATCGTTGTCGTAATGACTCTTTGAATGCCTTGGAATTTCAAGGAAGTTTTCAGTTGCTCTTTCTTTTTTTGCCACACTATATTTTCGGCTATTAAAATTGGCCGAAAAAAAATGACATTCATTTATATTACTTTTCATATGGTTTTTTGGCATTTGCTCTTTTTTTTCGTTCACACAGAGAGAAAGATAGGATAGTTCACCAAGAAGAATATGCCCACTCTCTGTGCTGAGTCTATATGACTCTGTTATCGCGAGCAACAACAACAAAAAAGTGAATGGTTTTATGAATTGTGTGTGTTTGTTTGTTTTTGTTTGCCTGGCGGTCGACTATTTTTAGCTACGAATTTGTACGCTTTCTACTTCATTTTCATCAAAATATGAATCATTCTCAACGCGGGCTCTCCGAGGCTCACAACTCGATAGTAGTTCCGATATTATTGTTTCTTCTTTGCACTTGATTTGCGTTTTTATCTCTCGGTCTTTATATTGCTATGGAGTTTTCTCGCTCATTCGTTACCATACACTCTGGCTTTTGTTATCTCATTTTCTTGCTATTTCTCACTCTAGCTTCTGCATATTCCCCCTTCTCGCTCTCACTTCCGCACATTTGATATCTCGCATTTTTTCTTCTATTTCGCTCACTTTCGCTCTCAAATATCAACGATAATAGTTTGACATTCGGATGTTTGGTCGTTGTTATTGTTATTGTTCAATTGTTCCATTTCAAAAGAATTCATTAAGAATATGCAAGTCAATTATATCGACGAATAGAGAGCAGATGAGCGTCGCCATCATTTTCGTGTGTGTGTTTGATTGTCTTCGCACTATTTTCCAATTCCAATAAGATCAATTTTAATTATTTCAATAGGCCCAAAACGATCTGACGACTCGTCTAAATAAATTGTAATCACAATTTCATTCCACAAAAAAATGAAACGGCACAGTTTGTGTGTATGGATACCGGCTGCTTGTTGTGCATTTTGTCATCATTTTTATTTATTAACACACTGGAGTGGGACATACACACACCAAATGCCAATATATGGCTAATAAAAAAAAATACGCTGTGTGTCGGTATTTTCCCTTTGTACTCCAACCGTCACACACACGACCGATTGAACCAATTAAAATAACATTTATGCCGCGACGCGAGAAGGAGAATTAATGCGCCTAGACGCACAAATCTTTATAGGCATCCACCGAAACTAATTTAGATTCAATAACAATGAAAACTGTTTTTTTTTCTATTGAGATCTTAATTTTGATATTCATCTGGGGTCTTGATGATTTTAAGGCTTTTCAGAAGAATGTCATTGAATAACGTCTCTCTTTTTTTTTCGTTTCGTCGGAATATTTTGAGTTTCGTATATCACCAAATGGTATTTTAAATCACCAACAACAACAAAAACTGTCACAAACCGTAGGTTCGCATTCAAATGAGTGTCGATGAGGTAGAATCTGTCATTGTATTCATCATAATTTAGTGTTTGTGCTCGTTCCAATGTCGATGCCATAATCAATATCAATGTTCTATTTCATCATCAATTTAAAAGAAACAAAACAAAACAAAAACAACCAAAAAGAATGAAAATTGAACCGAACTCAGACCTCCCGCCAGATAATACCGTCTTTTATATATATATATATATATATATATATCTATGCGATGCGTAACATACGAACTGTTGCCACCCGAAGCAAACGTTCATTGACGAAAACTGATATCTAGCGAGCGTTTTGTTGTGATTTAATGTTTCAAACTGAAACGATACACTAACCGTTTTCGTTCGATTGTCGACTGAAAAATAAGTTCTAGCGCTCGGCAGAAAGGCAAAAACAACAGAAAAATAAAACGAAACATAAATACACACGCAAAGGATCGTACACTCGACAACATGAGTGAACACGGGTATAGAATGAATGTAAGAAGCAACAACACAAAAATTCCAAATGTTTATTTAAAATACAAAAATATTTTGTGTTGTACGAGTCAGTTGAACTCTAGTTTTTTTTATATTCATTCTGATGTGGTCTCGTTGAGGTTGTGAAGAAAATTTTTTATTTATTTTTTGTTGCCTCCGCTTGTTTATTGGCTTAATGTTTTGTCATTACAGGCAAGAAAAAAACGGCTTCAAGCGGTCTGTCTCTCTGAATTTCTGAACGATTTTTCTTCAGTTCAGTTAAGAGAACAAAACCGATTTTGCCGCGTTCGGAAAACAAAGCGCGATTTTTGGTTTCCACTGTTGTTTTCACGCTCGCATTTCGATGCAAAGGCGAACAGAGGCGAAAATCAGAAAAGAATGAAATATCATTAATTACTCGAGCGGTATCTTTTTGTGTATGTGTTAGCGAAATTAAGTCGCACACGGGTTTACGTGCTGCTGCTGATGCTGCTGTTGATGATGATGATGATGATATTATTCATGGCACATATCCTTTTCGCTTCCTGCGAACGCTCGTTCGCACACATACACACGCACACGCGCACACATGCGGTGTAAGTTTCTTAACGAGTCCGATTCAGCTCAAGTGGGATTTACAAGTTGGTTTGGTGCTCGTTTACTTCGGTTCATTTCTTTTCTCGCTCTTGCCTTTGCCATCGCCATCGTCGTTGTCGTTTGCTCACTCGCTTTCATAAACACCATCTCCTTTTTTGCTTGTGCTCGCTTCAATTTTAGCACACATTTTAATGACTTTGATCGCTCTCTATGCACACGTCTATTTGGCGGTGTGAAGTTCAGTGTAGCATCTTCGACATTTGCCACACAGCAAAGCGAGCACATGACTTCACTCTCGAAACACACACACACACACAAACACACATGTATTGTAGAGAGCAGTTTGAATACGAAATGATTTTCTATCTCTCTCTTGGTCTCTTCCGTTTAATCTTTAGCTCGGTCTCGGTCTCGTTCTCTCGCTTTGAACACAACTTTTGCTCGCATTGAATTGTAATTACATTTTTTTCTCTCTGTGTGTTCGTAGCTGCCACTGCTTCTGCTTCTGGTGCTTAACATGTGATCGTTTTTTCTGGTTTGGTAGACGAGAAAACATGTGCGCGACTGGAAAAACTGTAATCAACTCAACATGCACCAAAATGCCATATCTCTTAACGCAAATAAAATATATATCGTTTCTGTCTCTCTGGCTAAAAAAAAAACACACCTGATACACACACATGACCAACGCAACTACGTACATTTTCACACGTAATATATCACGGTTCTCGTTTTTTTGCCTCATTTATATGGGCGTATTTTATGAATGAATGCCCATCGTAAAATTCAATTAAAGAAGCACTTGAGAAACACACAGAGAGTAAACGAGAACACCGAAAAATTCACATTCAATTTTGAAATGATCTTTGAATCAGGTCCGTCACTGTTTATATTCTGCACATTATAAAGAGAAAAAATTGATTAACAAATGTCCCATCGAGATGGTAAACAGATTGTAAAAAAAAAAACACGAGAAAAACTTATTAGCGTTTCAACAAATTACGATTTGTTTTTTACAATCGATCCCACATGTCGTTTGCACTCAACAACACACCAACACGAATCATCAACCTAAAAATACGGATTTCAAAACACGTACTCTCTCGCCGAATTTCCCAATTGTGAGATTTTTTCTCTTGTCGGAACGTACAAAACTCTCGTACTCGTCCATTTCTCTTTTGAAACCAAATGTTTCGACTTTGTTTCAACGAAATGGTCTCTCTTCTTTTCAACGAATTTTCTTCTCTTCTTCGACTAATGCAATTACTTTCGCTTGAAAGAATACAATTTAGTTGGGTTTTTTTTTGTTTCTTCGTTCTGTTGGAAAAATGTACGATGTCGTTAGTTTTGAGCGAGTGATTACACAATGCGAAAGAAAATGTAAGCGCTACAAATCGGTTCAATGTAAAAATCGGATCATTTAAGGCATGAAGCTCCCATGAGCCCCACTCAGATTGTTCACAATTTTCAATTCATACAATTCGATCGCATTCTCGTTTCGAATTGTTCCCTTGTTTTTTCTTTCACTTTTGTCACAACGGACCAGGGCTCCCAGTCTTGAGAGTCTGATGAGCGCACCACCAGAGGCCAAGCGACTTTTATGATATCAAAACTTTGACTCCCTGCATTTATCCAATGACACCAAGACTAGAAGACAACCATTTTAAAACGACCAACATAATTTCAAATCGATGCATTAAAAACCAGACCAAATTCTTATTAAAATGTTGATACAAAGGACCATAGTAAAAAAATGTCAGGAATTTTCAGCTAGTATACATTTTAGATTTGCCTGCTAAATTTTCGCATTCTCTCAACTCGTGCCACTGAGATGATTTCAAAAAAAAGTTTATGGCCATATAAAATGGTTAATGATTGATGATGAATCATCAAAAATGTATGATATTGCGAAAATCTTTTTATATCCGAATTTATGGCCGAATTTGATACTTATTCAATCCAGTTTCTACCAAGTTACAAAATGGGATTTTGATAAAATTTTTGTGGGGATGCCTATTTTCAAGTCGAAGATGATTTTTCCGATGTTTCATTATATTCTGATCGAGTTAAAGTAGGACGCAACTCGCCACTGCGAGCTGTAGACTCTTTTTATCAAAATTATACCATCAGTATACTCAGTTGCGGTGTTCTTTTCCGACTTTTCACGCATTTTTCCGGGAAATTCGGAAAATTCTGGAAATTGGTGAACATAATCTTTAAGCATTTAACAGTTACCGCACAAATTTTGATCCAAAATTTCGACACATTTAGTTGGAAAAAAAATATGCAAAAAAACACTAAAAATTAGTGGAATTTGTGTTCAAACCATTAAACGCTGGTAAAAAAAAACCGATAAAATGCACTAAAAGTTCAGTTCGTTTCTCTTGTACACTTCTACTACGTAAGTTTGAAGAACTTCTTTTCCTTAACCCTCTAATGCATTAATTTTCCCCAGGGCTGGGAGTACTGGTACTTGGTTGATTTTTGGCCATAGATATTTTAAAAAATATTCATAATCCTGGATTCCTCATGGTTAAGTCAGGAAATGCGATTGACATAAATCAGAGAACAATCAAATCCATTGTTTAAAAGAGTCAAAAATGTGTCTAATTTGAAGTTCGAATAATTTATTTTGTCAAATTTTTGTTTTCGCACACATTTTTGTTTATAACTTTACAATCACACTACAAAGACAAATATTGCCGAAGACAAAAATAAAGAGAAAACATTGACAAATAAAAATTCTCTTTAAAGCAATGTGATCCGATGTACGGTTTATGTTCTACAGGCATTCAAATGTTGCCCCTCTAGAGGCGGTTGTATGCATTAGAGGGTTAAGGTGTTGTGAAAATTTGTATTTCTCATTCCTGCACTATTCCCATTCATTTTCTATTTCAGCGATTGAGACTCAGATGCGTTGGCATCTACAATGTAGATTCCACATTCAAACTTCATGCATTTGACAAACAAGTTACTAAATAAGTTTTATAGGATGATGATTACTGAAAAAAAAATCTCGTTTTTTGAGCTCTGAAACTATATTTTTCATTCAGAATCGTAAAACTATTTTATTTTCATCAAAAATTTATTAGAAAAATGTGGAAAATCGTTTCTTCTTCTTTCTAAAGGAAAAGAAAGCCAATGTTTCATTTACAAAATTTAAGTAGTGAAAACTTTTTCCCGATGATATATTTCGAAGTTTCCCTTCCGTTTAATTCGATGCTTCCCTTTGATGAATCAAGTTAATCTCATTGAAATGAATCTGAGCGATGAAGTTCGTATACGAATCATATAATACGATCAATGGTAAAACTTCCTTATAAATCTCAAACATATGAATTAATTAGGGATGTCTTGACAAGAATTTGTCTTGTTACAAGACTCTTGTAGTTTGTGCTGCTATGGAAAATTGATTTTCAGATTCTGATTCAGAGAAAAATGAAAATTAAATTTGAACTTGTTGATTTTCAGATCGAAATTTTTATTAGAAATTTTCTATATCAAATGTTTTATTCTGGAATTCTTCTAAAATAAGTCAAACCATGCTTGTGACTAACGTAAGGTTGGAACTTTTTTCGTATTCATTTGCAATTGCTTCAATGTGTGAAAGTGGTTGAGTCAAATTTTATATGGCTCCCATG